CGCAAACTGAACAGAGAATCATTGTGATGAATCGGGAACCAGTTCGAACCCTACTACACAATTTGATTGAAATAATCTGCACAGAGGAATTTCATTCAGAAAATCAACAGCTACAACTCTTCTTTGCTCTAGAGTGCGCCGCGCGTCAGCGCCTCCATCCCTAGTTTCGGTGATATTGGAAAGGGTGTTAAGTTTGTGCAATTCATGTAGAGGGAAGGAAACTTTGCTACTGCTCTGGTTGACCCCTCTCTTCGCAGATTTATCTAATTCCTATTTAAAGTAAAATTCATAATTAAACATCCCATTTAAACAGGATTCATTGGTTCTTTCCTCCTATCTCCTCTCATTCGGGAGTAGTACCGATCAAAGGGTTTGAAGACTTAAAGCTTCCTGGGCGGAGATCAGACCGATATTTTATATTTGGACCACTTATGCAATAAAAAACTATGGCCGCTATTTTACGACACCCACTTGTTTTCAAACTCTATTCTTGTTATCTGTTTTCAGATCCATCCAGCTGAGCATATTTGGCTTCCATCATCCGGCCCTGGATCATCGACATCCGTGGACTCAGAGTGTTACGTCGGAGACAAGGTCTTATTTGGTCAATTTACTCGCTTAATATAAGGTCAAATGAAGATTCTCTTCCAGGATTGTCGTAAAACGGGCGAAAAACGTCGATGCGCTGCCTGTCATGTGGTGGCTCATACTTCGTGCTTTTCTCTTCTGGTTAAAGTGAGTGACTTTTCCTTTTCTTTTCAAAGCTGCCACTAGAACTATTCATCAAGGATGTTGAACTTTTTGAAAAAATTAATCGGTTTTTGGAGTCTGCTGTGGATTGTCTTCTGTACTCTCTTACCGAGTGGTCAAAATGCTCGTGGCTGCCACGGTTTCCTGACTTCCACCTCTTCCACATACCTTTCCCTCCCCTTTTCCATTCTTCATCCCCTAATAGAGCACTCAAGGACTTGAATACTTAGTGCGAAGCACTTGTGAGATGTGGGGAAACCCCGGATGACCAGAATTCTCTTTCTACTAACTACTGATGCTTGGCAGGTGTCCAAAGGCGAGTTTGCTTTTCTTCTGAGCAAAAGAAGATTAGTTAATACTGTAAATTAGCAGATTCCGGGAACTCTTATCGTACCCGTCATTTTCAGCTGAATCTGAATTGCAAAATCACATTCCACGATCATACCGTGAAGAAGCAGTCGCTGAAAGAATCATTAGACAGCCTCAGTATGCATCACTGGGTTCATAAGGTTAGTGAAAATGCCTTTTTTATCTGTCGTAATGTTCCAGGGCAACTTATAATGCTTGGATTATTTCACTACCATCTATTTTTCAATTTAAAAATGAGCTGATTCCATAAATGCTATACATATTCCAGTTTTTACATTTTTTTAAACGAATTAAGTAAAAGCATACATTTTTTATCTGCTGATGATGGTCTCCAGCTGTGTTGCCCGAAAATTATTTGCACTACATACATCAGGGTCCTGTGAATTTTCATCGCGCTGCATTCTTGATTTCCTTGTTTTTTTTAAGAATCAGATAGAATACCATTAACACAAAGTCCTGTAAATGGCTTTCGATTGATGTTTGTTTGGAAGCAAAAAAGAACTCGAAAAAGTGAGGGGATCAGGTGCCAAGGACCACTTGCGCATCACATATTCACCAGAATGTAAAAGAATAAATTTTTGGAATAGCAGTTAATCTTGAGGGCCCATGCTCTACGATATTCAGCTTTTCTAGCGATGGGATCTATTGTTTCTTAACTTCTAACAGCTTCACCTATTTACAGTGGCGTCATGAAGGTCGTTGCAGTCAGTGTGGTAAATCGTTCCAACAGAAAATGTTCAATTTCCAACAGAAAGAAAAGGTAAGAATATTCAATGTTTCGGTCCATCAACAAATTTTTTGATGTGTTCTAAATCGACCTTCTTTTTACGTGGCTTTCTACATCCGACGTCCCCTTTCTTTCTATGAAGATTACTTGAGCTATGATGGTACACGCTCCTTTGTCCTAAAAGGTAACCGGTAGCAGTTCAACCATTGAAATTGACTTTCTTCTTTTCGCGCAAAGGATGAGCCTCGCCCCCCCC